CGAGGCTGCGGTGGCCAGGAGTGGCCACTGCACTCCAGTCTGGGTGACAGAGTGAGACTCCAACACAAAAATAAATAAACAAATAAATAGTACTTGAACAAAGAAATGGAATAATATTAGAATTATAAGATTACTTTGCTTTAGCAGATAATTAAAAAAAAAATCTTTTTTTTTTGAGTTGGAGTCTTACTCCATCACCCAGACTGGAGTGCAGTGGCTGCTCCCGGCCACTGCAGCCTCGACCTGCTGGGCTCCGGCGATCCTTCCGCCTCAGCCTTCCGAGTAGCTGGAACTACAGGTGCGCGCTACCACGCTCGGCTGATTTTTTGATTTATTGTAGAGATGAGGTCTCGCCAAGTTGCCCAGGTAGGTCTCAAACCTGCAGGCTCAGGCAATTCACTCATCTTGGCCTCCCAAAGCGCGGGGTTACAGGCTGAGCCGACCAAATAATTAAAATTTTTTAGAGCTGTTTGGAAATTTAGTCCAGTCCTCTCATTTTATAGATAAGGAAACTGAGTCTTACAGAGGTGAAGTAACTTTTGTGTATATGTTATTTATATACCCCCTTATCTCAAAAAAGGATCTGAAATTATGGTAAATATACCATACTAATGTAAGATGTCACTAACAGAGGAAACTGAGAACAAGCTATATAGCGCTTTCTGTTTATAAAACTAAAATTCACTAAAACGATAATTAAAAGGAGAAAACAAAATTTTATCTGGAATCTCTGAAATTGAGATTTAGCCAGGGAATAAACTAGCAGAGCTGCAAAGGAAAGGTAGGTTTCCACAACTCTCAGCAAAGGAAAAGGTCAGTAGCTGGCAAATGGTAACAAAGTGGACTGCACTCAAATGAAATAATGAGTGTCAGCATACTTCATAAATGATAAACCACAGAATAGCTATTATCATTACTGCAGGAAAAGGGAAAACATTCACTCTATTGCCCAGGCTGGAGTCAGTGGCACAACTGCAGCTCACTGTCCACTTGAACTCCTGGGCTCAAGTAATCCTCCTACCTCAGCCTTCCAAGTAGCTAGACCTATAGACACGTCACCACACCCAGCTAATTTTTTTTATTTGTTATTATACAGATGGGGGTCTTGCTATGTTGCCCAGGCTGGTCTTGAACTCCTAGCCTCAAGCAATCCTCCGGCTTTAGTCTCTCAAAGCACTGGGATTTGAATAGGGTTTAAGAGAGATGCCACACTATTTAACCTGGAGTAGAGGTGTAAATGCCACAGGGACTAAGATGTAGATTGCTATTATTACATAGAATTTGTCACTTAAAGCAAAAAAGGAAAAATACTTGAGGATACATTTTCTTTTCTGAGCAAGAAACTACAGTACAGATATTTGTATACAGAGACAATTTTTGTTTCTTATTCCTGAAAAAAATATTAGCCTGCAGCTTCTTATGTAACTCTCACGTGGGGTCTTGCTCTCTGTGTTCTCCTCTGCCTCTCTGGCCTCATCTGCTCAATCTCCTTTGTTCATCTTCCCAACACCTAATGGCTGGAGGTCCCAGGGGTCAAGTTTCAGACCTCTTCTCCACCCACACACTGGTATTTCTAGTTACCTTTTGCTTACATAATTTTATCCAGTTTTGTGGCTTTAAAGA